CTCTGTCAGATAAACTTTGGGTTTCCTGTTGTGAAAGGACATATTAAGTGGGTCTTTAAGCTTTAGATGAATACTGCTCTTTGGTACCAAGCTCTGCCAAATGAATTTTGGGTTTCCTATTGAGAAAGGACATATTAAGTGGGTCTTTAAGCTTTAGATGATCAAAAAATATCAAATGTGCACAACTCACTAGACCCCTACATTTGTTTTTAGGTTCAATGGTAAATGGATGGGGTTCTGCGTCTGATGAGGACCGTAACTTTTCTAGTCATAGATCTAGTGTAGGTAGCTCCTCAGATGACTCGATCTTTACCAGCGGCAGTTTTGCACAAGCACTGGTTGCAGCAGCAGATAAAGCTGGTTTTAGGCTGGATGGAACCAGCCTGACAAGAACAGGTTTGTAGACTCAAAGTTGATGCTTTCTGCATGAAGGGTGTCTCTGCCCATTCTTCTCTTCCTTTCAGTGAACCTGCGTCTCACACTTGTCTAACATGCATGGAATAAGGTGGATGGAGATATTTTTATCGGTATATTTTAAATGAAACCTTGCATTATGTTTCATTTTTAGTGATTTGAAGTAATGAATAGCACAAGCTTTTGATCTGCACCTTCAATCTGCTACAGTTTCCCTCTGTGCTGACTCTGCTATAGATTTACTGACATACGCTCCGTTTAATATTTTGGTGAAGAGATCACTAATTCTGCCATGCAGTCTTTGATGATTTCATTTTTTGCAAAATCTCCTCACAATCATTCACATTTCCAGTGATGAACGTCATGTTTAAACTATTATCTCCATCCCTGCTCTTCTGTTGCATCTCTTCTTGCAAAAGTGTATTTTTCTGTCAAGTTTTTCTAAGCATGGGGGGAATTGGTGTGCTTTTATTGTTAACAATACAAACTGTTTAAAAGCTTTATTGATAGTTGATTTAACAAATACTTAATTCAATAAGTTAATATATCTTGATAAAATTTAATTTTAATTATGACAACTGAATCTGCCAAGCTAAATGTAACAAAGGTAAAGTGACTATTGCTTTTGAAAACAGCCAATCTTCTAAAGTGAATTAATGAAAAGTAAACATAATTTAGTTCATATTTTTAAAGCTCCATATATTTAATTTCTAGCAAAAAAAGATAAGTAGAAATGTTTTTTAAGTATTCTGGCAAAAAGAATGTATTTGCATTTGCTTAGTCTTATCAAAATAGCAAAAATAACTAATTATTTAAATCCACAAACCTAATAGCAAAGTATGAACTTGGGTCATATTTTTGTTATGCTTTCTCAGCTGATTCCTGCCCACAGGTCCCATAATGTTCCTATCATTTAAAATTTTTTACTCTATCTTCAAGCAAAACAGTGTGCATTTATGAGAAATGTTTCTGCATCTTAGGGCTGAAAACCGCAGGCTTTCTGCATGCAATGACTTCATGGCAAACACTGCCTTTTAGGAATGTTAGGAATGAAGAAAAGAATCGATGGCAAAGTCCTATGTCACCAACAAACTACAGAGTGAACAGATACAGCTTTTCTCAAATCACTGGGACTTTTGCCATTGACTTTGGTCAGACATAATCATCCTTAAAAGACAGTTATTTCACCCTTAAAAGTAGCTAAAACCCTCACTTGCTTCTTACACCAGTGGAAAATTGACTGAGTAGATCTGTCTCATCATTTGAAAAAAACAAAGCAAAACAAAACAAAAACTGATGTAGACCTTCACTCATCTACTACGGGCACATTTGGCCAAACTATAATTTAAAATGTACTGTTTCGCTTGAAAAGTCTCCTAAACAGTCTTGAATGAAAGGAGAAAATCCTTCCCAACCTTTTTTTGTGTGTGTTGTTCTTGGCCTCAGTAAAAGTTAATGCAAAGATTCATCTGAAGTTAATGTCACTTGTATCAGGCCATTGAGAAGTACAGTTTCCACACACATAACAAAAGTAAATGGACACACAAACACATATACACTTTTAAATAAATATAATTTCTTATTGTAGCTATGTAAATGGAAAGTACAAGGAAAGGATGGGAGCCCTCTTGTCAGTTATATTTTCCTAGCTTAATTAGGCCACAAATGCACTTAAACTGAGTACTTTCATGTAATTCCTTGGACAGACTGTTAGAATTTAGGGTACAACAAATTAGCAACGGTTGTGGTAGAGTCTATGATTATTACCTCCTTACTCTATTAATGATCCAGCAGGCAAAATGGAAACAAAATAAAACCCACAGGTAAACAAATAGCCCTCCCCTCTTTTCCTCACAAAAACTTCAGCAAATGGAAATAACTCCCCAGTGCTTACTGCAGTTTCATCACGATATGATACCTCCCAGGGTAGCATGGATCAATCAGACATGCCTATTACAGACCTGTTGTACCACAGCAACCCCCCATTGTGCAAAATGGTGTCTCGTAGTGGAGAAGCAGCAGTATTATTTCTGTTCATGGCTCTGGAGGGAGTCTGAAGGTCCTGGCTCTTCACTCCTTTGCAGTCTGGACAGATATTTTCACCCCATCAGAACAGCTGTGAAATATTCTTACTGATATGAAAGGAGAAGTCCAATTTGCTAGCCTCACGTGGGTGCGTTTGATCGCCAAGCATAAGAGGCACTGGTAAATCCAGGCACAAGGTGTCTCTCCTGCCAGACGCTTTGATTCCAGTTTCTAGAAGCCATCATGTGATTTGCCATGAAGTTCAGACAGTTTTCCTTTTTAACGCCCTTGGGAAATTAGTGGATTCATCCTTGTCTCCACTTATACACACTAAATCTACTGCAGAGAGTCTGGCACTGCTCAGCAGTTCTTACTGGAAGGGCTGCATACAAATACAAGATGCTGTAATATGTTATTAGGTGCATTGAAAAATGTGTTTTGGGAGCCTGCACATCATTTGTGTTTGCCCTGTTTCTGATTTAGGTCACTGCTATTTATTTTCCCTCATTTTCGTGGAGGGATAAAAGAGAGAATGTTTGGTGTCTATTTCTTTTTCAAACCAACATTCTGAATGAATAATCACATTTCTTTAGTCAACAGAATAAGTGTGAAGAATCTTCATCCTGGACTCACTAGTTGCACTTGCATGTTGCGAGTTTATTTTTGCAAAACATCTGTGCACTGTGCTGTGAGCTAGGATGGAATTTCAGGCTCATATCTGAATTTCTTTGCATTAGCAGTCTTTTTTTTATTTTTAAATGAAATTTTAATATTTTTTCTGTGTTCATCTGCTGTTTTATCCTTATCTATGAAACAAGGGCTTGATCACTTCTTTGTCTGGCTGCAGCTGTGCCAGCTATAGAGGTTAATGTTTCCAGCCTTCCCCCAAATGCTTATTACTGCTTTCTCCCAGCTCCAGAATTAGCTGCTTGGGTGGGCGTTCTGAAACCCATTTCAGATAAAATGAGCCAGGTTAGCAAAGGTATATTTTTCATACTGTTTAAGTTCAATTCGGCTTATTTTGGTAGAGGAGAGTTAGGGAATGTCCACATAAGGGGTTCAAACGTGGTAACTTCCAATAGCCGGCAGTGACATGCAGCTGGGAGACAAGCTTGCCCAAGAGCATTGTCCTCCTCAAGGTGCACGTCAGTCAGAAGGTAGAAGATCAAGCCCGAGACAGTCAGGAAATCTCTGAACTCAGATACTGAGATGTTATTCTAATATGTATGTATTAATATGAAACACCATGTTAGAGAGATTATGGCTACTTTTTTTCACTTTGCCCTCTTTGCACTGGGAATATTTCAAATAGTGTAGTGGGTAGCATATTACTCCTGATTAGGCTTATCTAGATCAGGTCGTATGTGACGGTATGTTGGAAGTAAGCACATCTGTTGAAAAGTTTTACTAGAAAACTTAACTCACAGCAGGGTAGACCCTGGTCTAAGTTAGCCAGAAGATAAAAAAGCTCCTTACTAGCTTGGGGACAATTGGCCAGAAAAATAACAAACGGCCATTTTGCCACTTTCCATCAACTCTTACACCATTTAGGCCTACAGTAGCACTGAAAGAGCAGAAGTTCTGACTGGCTTACACATTTTCCACTGCAGATAGGATTCAAACAAGTAAGAATTTTAAGTACCAATTCAAACAAATTAAAATGTTAACATTCCCAAGATACTTGGCAAGAATGACATACAGATGAAAAAAAGGAAGTAAAAGACGGTGATCTTTAGTTTTCATCAGTTATTATTAAACAATAAGCCTAGTTAAGTTAATGGAATAAAAATATCAAAATAAGAGGAAGTGAATATAGTAAATGAACTGTGCTCCCATGGTTCCTGTCGTGATGCTTTTAATGATCTGCTCCATAGAACAGCATCAAAGTTGGTTTTTTTTAAGAGAAATCACGTAGCTTGATTAGTCTATCTATAGATAGAAAATCCTGAGGAATAAATTCAGTCAGAATACATTATTTTTTTAACATATAAAAATACTGAAAATGAACAGGAAAATTTTAGCATTTAAATATACCCCCATCTTTATTTCTTGGGAAAAGACAGCCTTTAAGTATACAAACCTACACTGCTACATAGCTTGCAAAATCAGTTATGTTTATCTCACTGGAGTTACTCCAGATATACAGTCCATATGGGAGCCTCTAAAATGAGAATCTCGCTCGGCAAACGTGAAGGTGGAAGGCAGGAGGAGATAAATTTGATATGATTGTAGAACTGTTTTCCTTCCCTGCTCAAGGCTGAGGAGTTGTTATGACACATCTGTTCAGCATACAGAGCAGGTAGAAGTTATATGGCATACAGTAGTTTTATCACAACAGATGGAATGATTTTAATTATAAAAGTTAAAGACTAAAGAATGCCAAGTTTCTCACTGCGCTTGTTGTGGTGTGTCTTAAAGCAGTTGTCATCAGTGGGTACCTCGAGGGGAACACTTGCTTGCCTCTGAGAATTAGACCAGATTTAATGTTTCAGAACAGACATTAATAGAACAGCCCATTTCAAGGCAATAACATTTTGTCATCTGGTTTCTCTTCTTTTTAGGCAAAGCATACCCTTCCTCCCAAAGACCTCGGCCGAGCAGTCCTTTTTCTACTGACAGCAACACCAGTGCAGCTGTCAATCAGAGTCAGAGGCCGAGGCCCACTAAAAAACACAAGGGAGGACGGTTGGACCAACCCCCCTTGCCTCATCGTAGGGAGGGAATAACAGATGGTAAGTGTTGTGGTGTGAAGTCCCTGATGATAACCTACAACATGCAGGTGTGCAGAATGGGAGAACGTAAAGCAATCTTTTAAGGAATATATGTTACGGTGAATTATTTGTTTGGTGAAGTAGGGTCCCCAGGTTGCCACATGAGCAATATTGCAATGCTAGCAATTTTGGAGCTTGGTTAAATGAGTCTTCAAGGAGTTTTCTTTGTTTCAGCTCTGAATGTGTTAGCATCTCTTAGGTTTTCTCAGATCTCAATATAAATCTTACCCAAAAATGACTACATTGCACATGGGCTGACATTAAAAAAATGGCCTGTGGGTAATTTTACATAAAATGAAAGTAGCCTCCACCAGCAGTAGAGGTATGCTGTGAATCCCTAAGGACAAGTGTAGAGCCAGTCCCACAATACCCTGTTTGGTTTGTGCTGTTTTTGACAGCCACCCAACAGCTATAGCAATACATGCCACACTTTTCTCAAGATTCTGCCTCATGTCTTGTCCGTGCTGCTTCATTCCTGACATCCACTGACCTCAATAACTTTGTTTCCCTCTTTGACATCTCCACTTCTCTCTGACCACTGCTTCTGATCTGGAAATTTCAGGCATGTCTGTTCTGCTCTTCTAATGACTAAGTTAAGTCTTCCATTATCTTTGTCTACCCCCTCTTGAGTTTGGCAAAAGGCGCAATTGCTGCCTGTTACTCCTTGAGGAGGACTGGGTAGGAAGGTGGCCGGCTGGCTACCTCCCCTTCATTTCTTCTGATCTCTGGCCTGGCCCCTGTAGGTGTTGAAATGATCAGAGGGGAGATGCAGACAAATGGATAAACAGCATTAAAGGAACGACTAAGGATATCTGTAATGCCATGCAGATGGAGACATGATCACTTTCCTCACGCTGACCTCTTTTTCAGTGTTCAAAGCGGGGAAATTCTGAGAGCTAGGCTGTCCTACCTGCCTCAGTGGCCCTCATAACACTATCTGGATCACAGGAGTGGGTGTGATGCCAGTGAGTCTATCTCCTAATCTTAAGTACATCCTGACAAATCTTCCAGTGTATGGGAAAGGTGTAAAAATAAAAAAAAAATTACTTTAGATTTTAGTATAAACATCCTCCTTAGTCTAGTAAAAATTACTTGAGAAAGATAGAATCATAGAATATCTCGAGTTGGAAGGGACCCATAAAGATCATGAAGTCCAGCTCTCTTCATTATCTTCTTTGGACAGGTAACGTAATAAATTTGATAGAGAGTATATTTAGTTTGGTTTATTTACAATGTGCTGTTTATTACTCTAGGCACATGTAGATTAACAGCTTGCAAGGTGGACTGTGGCCACTAAAACCACCAGAACTCTCCTCTTAGTCATGTTATCAGGGGTACAGATGCAATTTTGCAGTATGCTCTGACAGATTCCTTGTTTGTCAGACCACAAAGGTGGAGAACGGATTCCGGAAGTGAGTCTTCCCTGAAGGGGTTATCATTACATCTCATGCTCTATGGCTCATCCTCGCTACCATATTATTTGGGAAAACAGCTTAAAGTAGCTTAGACTCCACTCATATGGATCTGAATTAGTTTAAACATTAATGCCCTCCCCTTCTGGATATATTCCAGAGGCCTCCCTGCTACACAGATCCATTAAATAGATGTGTGTATGAGAATAATAACTGGAAATTGTGGGTCGCTTGCGGTGCTGTCAATACTCTTTTTGTGCATACGTCAAGTCAACGCTTTCACGTGGCATATCCTGTCACCCTGAACTATGAACCTTTTGGACGACAAACTTTGTGTACATGTGAGTTTGTACTGCACTCATTATGGTGGGACCTTAACCCTTGTGCTTTTGAGTACTATTGCTATAGAAATGTTTAACAATAATGTGGGTACCAGAAAATTAATGGGAATCCAGTTCAGGTCATAAGACAGATGGAAGTGTGACTCCTCAGGGAGTGACTCCATCATAAAATCTGGCATTGTATTAAATTAGTAAAAGAGATCAGATTTTAAGATTTATTTAAAAAAAGAGGAATCTTCTATTGTCTTTTATTTATACTTTATAAAATACTAATCTTATTGGAGTTTCTTTCATTTATTTGAGTCAGAATACCAACGACAGACCATTTCCTTCAACAATCCACCTCTCAGACACAGGCAGTAACCGTAACAGCTTTCGGACACTGTTAGCTTAACATTAGTCTGCTATGAACCTGGTTAAAGTCCTTACTACATGTTCCAAAAATTTATAATGTCCTGGAGTAATAGAGGGTCCTTTCCCATCCTCTCTTACCACAGGAAGAAACAAACACAAATTGTACATTTTTTTCCACTTCAACTCTTACTGAATATGAGTCATTGAAGTGTAATGGCAAGTCTGAATAACAGCTAAATTTGCAAAAGTACATTTGTCAATTAAGGAAGCTAAAGATTGCTGCTGCCACCTGTGTGTATATAAACAAACTGAATTTAGGAACCTCTGGTATACAGAAATTAAAAATGGTAACTGGATGCTTTGTGTGGAATATTTCAATGAACTTTACAAAGAGAGACAATACCACTATGTTTAAGCTATGGTTAGAAAAAATAAGTAGGAGAACCTGGGATAGATCCAGCAATTCTAAGCCCTAATCCAGGCCAGTCTCTTCAGTCCTGGGCTGTCCTGATTTCAGTGGGCAGCATCACTATACATTTTTCTCCTGGTTTTCAGATGTCTCCAATCCATTCCCTTACAACTGCTTCCTCTTGGATTTGTCATATGAGAACATACTTGCTTTGTCAGTCGTCTTCAAATTCCCAAGCTGGATTAGTCCTAGCATCTTGTGTTTAAGTCTCATCACATACTGGATATCAGTCATTTTAAATTTTTGTTGACCAAGTAAGCTCCAGCTATGTCCTTTCCCTGCCCTTTCCATTACACTTCCTGAGCACTTCCCCCTTGTTAACTGTAACCACGTGGGATGGTGCAAAAGACCGAAGGAACTGTACTATTTAAAACGTAGCACACTGATCCCCGACTATGTAATCGTATGAGGGTACAACTTCATGCTTACTTTTGACAGCAATCCACACAAATCCCCCAAAAGCCTGCTTCTTAATTTTCTTCTGTCACAGGTCAGAATCCTCTAGAGACTGACTCTAGATTGAGTCTTCATATTTGTCTTCCTGTACAACTTGGTTTTTAACTTCCCCATCCTAAAAGACCATGGAGACAACAGCAAATCCACAGAGGAAGAATACCTTATGAATCCCTCAAATGATGAAAAATCTTCATTCTGAGCTCACAGTCTGCCATAAAAAACAAATAGGAGGGTTTTTGTTCTAGTGCTGAAGGAATAATTTGTTTTCTTGGAAACAGTGTATTAATGAATTGCAAAACAGTGGAATCTGCCATATAGGTGGTGGCATGGTAACTGCATGACTGAAGATAAAAGTTCTTCCTTAGTTGAGCATGATGTTTAAAAAACCCAAAAAGGAGGCAGAAGGGAAATGTAGTTAGTGGTTAAAAAGGAACTAGAACTTAGGATTTCTGTTAGCTTTGCTACTGACTTGCTATTGGGTATTACAAATCAATTTTTGCTGGGGTAGATCACTGTAGAGAAGATGCTTACCTTCTGATGCTAGCAAGTGGTTCAGAAGCTTATTAAATGTCACAGTAATTATCACCCTTAGGAAAACAAATCACTGGCACGGGTAGAAAGGGGTGTCCTTATACTTTTTGGTTCTGTAACTTCCTGCTTTTTCCAGCTAGTAATGAGAGGCTGTGCCAAAGCTTGACTGGTGCCTGAATCATTCGGCCAATGCTCTGCCTTCTAAAGGAGGGCTGGAGTAATCCCAGGCCAAACATCCATCTGCCTCTTATCAGGCACTCTCATGTCCTACAGCTTCACAATCACAATCCCTCCATTACTAAATCAATAAGACCATCACCCCCCACCAATGCACTTACAAATTGCCTTGCAAGTTTGAAAATTCTGCCATTAGAGGCTGCAAGAGGTAGTCTGGATGACATCCCACTGGCCTAGTAAGTTACTAGCTCAATGTGGGTGTTTTACCTGGCACCTGGAAGATAAATGTCATTTAGATGAAAGTACAGTGATAATCAGTGATACCACTGTACTGAAAATCCTGCTGACGTCCCTAAATTTCTAGATTCAAAACTTCTCTGAAGTGATTGACATGATGGAATGAGTTGGCTTGCCTCTATGTGGTAATAAGTCAGCCTGTTAGGGACTGAGACTACTAACTTGTCTGATCTCTGTTACCCCTTTACTAGCAGCCAAAATGCCAACCATTAACCATCGTGTATACACATACTCGCAAGCGTGCGTGGAGACACGTGCACAGTCACATATGGACATGTTAGGCTGGGAAGTGAGAAGAGAGGAGAGGTAAGACTGTTCTCTGTGGCATTGGAGGAGGAAACTGTGACTCCAGATACATGGGGTCTTTATATATTCCCAGGCAAGATAACAGAGCATGTTTAGTAATTTACCTAAGGCAGAAGGTTTGCACTACAGGATTTAAGTTGTAGAGCAAATAAAAAGCTACATTTCCAGATGAAGCTCTCTTCCAGCTTCTTTTATTAAAAAGGAAAGGTAGGCGTTACTGTGACAATCAACCTGAATAAGAAGGTGAAAAAGCAAACCGTTTAGTCAGGTGATGGTTGGCTAGAATTAGTAACTGTTTTTACAGTTCTTCTCAGACATGTCTAACACAGTTCAGTAAGTCTGTACTCAGGCTGGAGCCAGCTTGCATTAATTCTGTAGTACCTGTAATTCTTCTAGAATTGTGTGAAATTTTTCATTTCAACTCATCCACAGGTCTAAAACATCCAAAGAACTTTACAAACATGGTTTTTCATTTCACTTCTATGCATCAGGCAATCATTATGCCCATTTTGTGGATGGATAAAAGCAAGAATCAGGTTAGCAGTAGATCAGCAGCATAAGTCTACAGTAATTCCAGGAGTTGCAGCTATGTCTAGAACATGCAGTATGGTTAAAGTACAAACCTTCTCTCCTTCTCAGTATCTAATTAATAACAAGTATTAGACAGCAATTCCTGAAGAAGGGTACTGTATGTTAAGAAGTTTAATACTGCAATAATTTTAACTTTTTTTTTTTTTTTTGCTATGATACTACTTAGAAATTTTGTTTCTATTGAACGGTAGATATTTTATCTTGGAAAACTGCATTGTCAGATGTCATGTTATGACTGTGTTTATTGGATTCAATGCATCTCCATAAAGTGCTTATAAATCACAACTTCAGTAATCTCTATTTCAGATTGCATAAGCAGATGCCAGTGTTGTGGTTCTGTACATTAACTGGTTATGATTGCAATAAAATCAATTATAAGAAATGCCGTTTTGGAAGCCAACACTATAAAGCAATTTTAACATTGGCAAGCTCCCATACCGTCCCGCTTCCACCTACAGTAACTCAAGTATAGTCATTGTCATGAAAGGTCACATCTATATTCATAACTAAAAATTTCTCAAATAAATTAGTGCTGAACATAAAGCATACACCAAGCTCACTGACAGATTATTATAAGGCTGTTCTAGCCAGAAGATAGATATCTTAATCTGGGGTATAGCACTTCAGCTGTGAACAAAGGTACGGGAGCAACATCAGATACAACTTCTTTCCCTTGTAGACACAAATAACCCACACATCCTTATCTATCTGTAAGAGGCAATGTTGACCAGAATGACATCTCAGCAACTGTGGAAGCATTTCTGCCCCATACATGAGATAAAAGTGTCACCTCTAACAGCAAGGACATGAAAAAAAGTCTGTGTAGCATTATATTAATTTGGATTACAGCCTTTGAAATAAATTCACTCCAAAGGCCTCCTCACCAATTTATAAAAGTAATTTCAGTTTCACTAGAGTTATAAACATCAGACTTTCCTGCAGGCAAAGCAAAGGTTTTCTTTTCCATGCCTTTTATTGAGCCAAGTTCAATTCCTTGACAAACCTTGACAACACTGTAAGGTACAAAAGACTAGAAAGCAGGACAGACCCATATCTAGTGCAAACTAACATAGGTTCAGTGAAGTTGGAGGGGCTGCGCAGATTTATTTGGGCTATGCATTGCTCAAAACTAGAATTATCAACAAGTGTTCTTCGTATAAAACAGGTATCCTACATGGGAGAGTTTTCATTACAACACTAAAGGCACTTCCATTTTCTGATTTTTTTTTTTTTAAAATAATCTGAGGCTTTTCTGGACTATAAGAAGTCTGTCATATAGTTTACAGGAAAATCTTACATTTAGAATTATAATTATCCAGATTCTATAATTACCTTGGGTCAAGGACTAATAAACAAAATGTACTTTTGCCTCCACAAATGTGATTAGAAGCTTGATCTTCAATTCTACAAGCATCTTAGTAGTCCAAGTCATAAACTTGAAAAGAACAAGAGTTGTTAGAGACCAGGCAAGCATCTTTCAGTGTTCAGCTGAAATTGTATTTTGATTGGTTATATTTGCAAGACTGCTAAACTTAAGAGTGACCATCCCCTTGTCTGTGAAGACTCTAGTTCTTGGCTGAACTTTCAAATAGTGCTTGAATAAAACACTCACCCGTTGTTTGGTGTTTCCATTTAAACATGCATTTTTCACAGGTGTGTTGATGCTTTTTCAATGACAGTAGGTTTTGTGAATAATTTTTCCCAAAAATTTTGTGGAATTTTATGCATTTTGATAAAGTTGTATATTTAGATTTTGAGTTTAAGCCTCAAGCTGAAAGTGAAGCCCAAAGATGGGGGTGATGAAGCAAGGCCCAATATGATGGGGGGAAATTACTCTGTCGACTTGCACAGTTTTTCATAGCCTTTCTTAATTGCTTGCTGTTACTGAAAGAGCCAGATGGAGTATACCCCACAGAAAATAAATCCCATGCTTAGAAATGTAAGTCAGGGCTCAGAGTCTATTGATTTTTACGGAAGTTAGAAAGAGCTAGCAACACAGTAACCTGAGTAAAAAACTAGTGGAAGGTAAAAACACATTTCTGACTAACATGAAATTTCCTCCTTTTAAAATCAGCAAATGAAGTGATTCGTGCCATTTGCAAGGGACTTTCATTTTCAGCATCAAATAGACCTTCTGTTTCAATTGAAATATTAGTTCATCTAAATCTTATTCACGTTTTTTAGATCTTCCACCACCACCCGACCCGCCCCCTGGTCAGGGTTTAAGGCAGCAAATAGTCCCTGGCCAGCGCGGAGGCTCAGCAGAGAGGAAAGGAAGCTCTCTTGAGAGGCAGCATGCACCGAACGTAGATGAAACAAAGAGCTCCCTGGACCGGCAAGCTAGGACGTCACTAGAGTGGCAGCGGCAAACCCAGGAGTGGATAAGCTCTACAGACCGCCAAGAGGATTTCAGGAAAGCCCAACACAAACAAGCCTTCGGATCAGGTGTGTGTGTGCTGCACCAGCCGAGGCAATGCAGACGGCTTCTTGACACTTCTCAGCTGAGGGTTTCTGTATCTGGCAGGAGTCTAGGGTCACCTCACGCCCCTCTGTGCCAGCACTGGTGAGGCTCAGGCTGGAAAATAAGAAAAGGCAAAGTGAAATGAGAGCTTGTGATCCAAGGATTTTCCCTCCCGCAACAATGAAATCTCATTAGCACCTAACTCGTTGCATCCTTTCCAGTGTTTTGGCAATTAATAATGTCAAGCATAGCGGTGGAAAAAACAGGAACAGTTTCAGGCAGGGAAGGAGAAACAGATTTTTAGAGTATTTTCTGTTGGATGTATTTATTTATACATATAGGGCCATATTTTCTAGTTCTTTCAACCTGCTTCTAAATTGGCAGCAGCTGTTTTTGCATGTCTGCAAGAAGGCTGATCCTTCTGAGCTACTGACGTTCCTTCCAGCTGTATTTAAAACACTGTCTTCTCCTTATTCAAGGATATGACAAAGTAACATTCATCTCTTAGACCTAGCAAGATGACAGCACAGGTCTTCACCTTTATACAGGACCTGCTCGTTGCTGAGCGCTGACTTTGTCTCCTAAATGGATTTCAAGTTTGTAAAAATGTGTGCAGGAGGCGACGCTGAGCTGGAGTTGTAGTTCTACAATATTCACAGATTCCTTCTCTCAGCATGACCTCAAGTAAAACCTTCTGTTTCAGGTCCCCTTACTAGGGTATTTTCTTTAACCCACTAATCACATGTTATCCCAGTGCTGATTAGAGTGATACAAGAGGACAATTAAGAAGATTTTAAAAAAGAATATTATACTGTACATGGAGCTTTCTGTAGGGCTACACTGTTTCTTCAAGTATATGTGTAGCTCCTACAGTAACACTAGAGGTACTCATATTATCCATCTTTTTCTTGACTTTATTCTACTATTAATGTTCCTTGTTAATCTAGCACACTAATATCAATGACATTCTAAAAAAAAAAATAGTAGTATACAGGCAAACCTGCCGTGGGGGTAGGATTTACTGAATAAAGTCCTCTTAGGAAATATTGCTACCCATATTTAAAATGTAGATATTTTAAATACAATCCATATTTTAAAATATAGCAATAATGGTACCGTTAAAACCCCCTAATCTTTCAGCTGCATAAACAAGTGAGTGGTTGTTCGTGTTGTGAAATGGTGATGTGAAGTCACAGTTTAAAAATAGTGTGTGAAATTCATGCTACTTGGTGAAATGGCAATTTTAATTACAAAGTAGAAGATGTACAAACACACAGAAAATATCCCGAATATACTTTATACATCTCATTTCTTTGTAATTTATTATTAAGGATGCTCCTCTGACCTGGTTAGCAAGAACTCCCCTCCTTTTCCTCTGCTTCATAAGTGTACAAATAGAAGTTGACAATTATCCTGTGATACAGAGGGTATACAGTAGTAAAATTCCCATCCTGCAGGACTTGCATTTATCTGTCCTTAAATAAAAAGAACTTGATCTTGACACTTCCAGTGCCCTACATGAGCATTGAATTTAGGGCTGGAGTGATTACAGGTATCTTGTTCTTGTCAAATTCAGGATGACCAGAGCAATTGCATATTCTTTATGCATGACAAAGGGTTCCTCTGAGGAGATATTATGGTTTTACCCTGGTGGGAGGGGTTCATAAAGTTTGTGCACAAAGTGGGCCAGAACTTCATATCTGTCTGTCTTCTCATCCCAGCTTCTTGCACTACAGTTTTCTTGCTCTGTATTCTTTTCTCTGGTAGATTTAAAAAAGGCTACTCTTGTTTGTGATACTTGTTTATATTACTAAATTTTGGGGTTATAATAATATTAATTGTGCTTCTTCCCTTTTCCTTTATTAATGACAAAGATCTCTGGAAATCTGTCCCAGTTTTCAATATATTTCCAAAAGGAGTTATTATTAGCTATCAGCTTCCAGAAAATAGCTATTTTGATGCTTAGGGGGCTTCGTTCAGACATTACCAAGCTGTGAATGAAATTTTGAAAGCAAGACCTTTGGTTTGAAGTTGAGTAGAATAAAAATACGTAATTCTGGGAACCGTGTTTCCACTGGTTGCTTTCAGTATAAACAAGATCACTGAGATCCTGCCAATGGCTTCATTGTGGAACCACAGTTACAGCACATCAAACATGACATTCTCAGCTGCCCCTCTAAAGAAAGTAGTGCTAGATCAAGTTACAATAGTTTTGATAATATTAAAAGCCTTTTGATTATCTTATGGGGTATAGAAACTTCTTTACACACATATATCCTGATTTCACAGGGGCTAGAATTATATCTTCAAATTAAAAGCTCAGTATTTCAGAGAGAAAGGCGTCAGCAAAGCCTCCCCGTATTCTTTGCAGGCGTGGGGCATGGGGCACTGTTTTGAGTGTTTAATAAATGTAAGCCCATTCTAAGGACTTGAGACAGCTACCTTTCATGTGCTAGAATGTTGTGAAAATCTTAGCCTTTATTTTATGTCACAATTGCTTATTTTATAGGTTGCATTTATTTCTGAGGGCACAACAGATAATTTAACGCACCATATGCTCTATAATGATAATGCACTTTATATTTATTCATGGTCGTTTTTTCTCAATATTTCATTGAACCCGAAGGAGGCCTTATCCTGAGTCCACAAACTAGAAAAACAAATCAATTGACCATATATGTCATCTTCAAACTCTTTTGCAATGCTAGTGACTTTTCTTTCCATCCTTTAAAAATGTATCCAGCTTTCTGCTAAACTGATTTATGCCGCTTGCTTTATTGCTGCCTTAATGCAAGCTGTTCCATATTTTAGCCAGCCTTTGGAAACCAGGTTTGCATCTGATTCTATTGTTAGGACTTGATATATAAAGAACAGGTAACATAATTTAGGAGGCTATGGCTGTTAAATGCCATTTCACTGTGTCTTTTAAGCATTTCTTTCTATTTCAGCAAGGACAGCACACGGTCATAGCACAAAACACTGATAATGCCCTTACCTCCTGCAGCACAAATATTCTGGTCCCCTGGGCAGGGCCAGAGGGAGATACTTTGGCAGAGAAAGAAGTCAGCTGCCTGCCCTCTTCTGCAACAGATTTACCTTACAAATGGGTTCTGTTCAATAGTAGATCACATGGGGAATTCCCGTGTCCTACTCACTTGTGGCAGTAGGCACAAAGAATGAAATCCTGGGTTTCTTCCACAAATTTGTTCTCATTTAGCATTTCCCTAAGTTAATTGTACCTCTGCTGCAGCCTTTGCAAAGGCTTCAAGATTGTGCATAAAAGCATTTTTATCTCCTCTTTCTTTCCAACCATCCCCGCCTACTTTTCTTTCTGTGTTCCTGCCCTCTATCAAAGAAAGTCTGTTTCTCCTCATCAGATTGTTTAAGAGTGAAGACAATGGGAGAGGCAAAATAGAAAAAACACCTTTCAGCCCAGATTCACTTTAAAAAAATGTAAGATTCAAGCAGAAAATATCCCACTGATTACAGAAGGGGCAATTCCTGTGTTTGAGGTTAAGCATGTATACTTATATTCCTTCTTGAATTAAACCGTATTTAGCAAGGTCTCTTTCTTCAGGTTCTGAGACAGCAAAAGTGGATCATATACAGCAAAGAGATAAAACAATGCTTCTATTTTGGTGTTAAATCAGTGCTGCTGTTTTGCTTCTTAGGTTAGGATTATTACAACAATATCTCCTGGACAATCTAATCAGATGTGATGTCTTATTTTACTTCATGCTATATGAAGGCATACAGTCCTATGCTTTATTGGTATTAATCCTGCTCTCGCAAGCAGTTCGTTATTACAGGTCTTCACAAAGGAAGAGGCCAAGTGAGCAAAAGTAAGCCTTTTGCCCATAATGGAACATGAAACAAGCTGCAGGAAGATTTACTCACCCTAAATATTACAACTACTACTACATTGTATAATATAATATTTTCCAATGTAATTCACAACCAGTTAAAAAATCTTCAGTGTACTTTGCATCGTTAGAAATTACTGAGCTGCTGGAAGCTAATTAAATTAGCTGATATTGTAGTTCTTTATCTAAATTGATTGAGGTAATGTTACCATAATTTAAGCTAAAGAAAAGGAAAAAGCACATTCATGTAGGCTTGAAGCAAAAATCTAATCATAGCTGCATTGTTTTGGAAATGGTATGCGCATCTATTTTTATTAAAGTAATCTATGATTCATGATCTGTTACTTCATAATGAATCTAGACTTTTTATAATTAATACAAACTAGCTTGTGAGTTTACTTGAGAGCAAGGTTAAATTCATGCTCGTTTCTTTGCCTGTGGGATACAACACTGAGTTGTGTATTTTCTTAGGTAAAATTGCCGTACTACAAAGCAAGACAAAGGACAGATATCTGAGGGCAGGAATGAATATGATGTCCGTATAAGAATAGCTTGATTATTCCTATTTATAGGAATTTATTTGATATTTATTGTGTTGTTTTGTTTTGCTTTTCCAGAAGAGGCACTCGTACCATATAGTAAACCCAACTTCCCATCCCCTGGCGGCCACAGCTCTTCAGGAACAGCTTCTTCTAAAGGATCGACCGGACCTAGAAAAGGTGAAGTCTTGCGGGGAGGTCACCAATGCAATGCCAGTGACCTTCTCGATGTAGGCTATGTGGGATCAAACAGTCAAGGACAGTTTACTGGTGAATTATGTAAGTTTATGTCTAGCTACAGTTCAAACTCTCAAATAGAAAAAAGAGAAAAATTATAAATCTGTTGTGAAGAGGGGAGGAAGTTGAGTGTGATAATCAGATTAAATTTTACTCAGATCTTTTTGCCTTCTGAGGTGTTTTGCTTGTGATAACAAACAAATGAAGTTCTGTTCTTTGGTTCGGACCAGTTCAAATCTGTGTAAGCCTGCATAGTACATCTTTCAGTGTTTAATGCTGGTGAAACACTGGGAAAATTGAAAAGAAATTCTAGTAATTTAGAATTTTCTTGGCAAAGTGTAGTGTGCTTGTCTTGGAAATGCCATTGGCAGTTTTTCCAAGAGGAGCGAATGAAAAGGGTGCTGAACTTGTTGGGCATGGTAGCAAGCTCGTGATGCCTTCTGCTTAACTTTCTGTTGCTTGATGAGCAGTATTCTGCTCTTTTTTACCTTAGATGGAGGTCCTCTTTTTTGAACTGTGTAGCCCAGTTTTTCAGTTGAATATCCCAACTCTTTCCTCAACTTCCCAGGCCAGGGGAATTATTTTCCAAACTTTTTTCTATTATTACTCAATATCTGTTAAACCTTGTATAAAACCATGTTAATGCTGTGTAGGTGGTGGTAGTACTAGATGCCAAAATGTTTGACTCTGTTGTTTGAAGTCATCAACAACCCAGCTAGCTCAGGCATACTGATACGTTGACGAGTAAAAGCAGTGTAGCTGTCGGCATGTCTGCCTCCTATATGCTGCAGTCAAACCCTCAGTACCTCCCGACAGTTACTGCCCGGTAGCTTGTAAGAGAGCTAATGGTGATCCACAAAGCCTGAAATGTGCTCTCTCAGATACGGTGTTGGTAAGTGCCGAATTTTAGCATCCCTCACTTTTCAACTTAGAAGCGATTAACTCTCATCTCCCAACCTATCGAATATTCATCCTGTGCTGCAGTAATATTGCCATAGGCTTTGTTTTGTGTTTTTTCTCCTTATTACAACCTCTTTCTCTCTCTTTGTTTCTCTCTATAGAGTAGTTGAGAAGACACATTGCAAGCTGCTCTGATGGACCATCAGGTCTGAACTCATGGAAGTGATGACACTAAACAGTGCAATGAACATTTTCTTTATTTATGTACTATTAAAAGAACTGTAAATGCAATGTAAAGACACACAGCCACACATATCCCACAGATACTTTACTTGTGTTCTTCTCTTTAATACACCATCCACCTTAAACTATTCCTTGTCAGGAGTATATAAAAAAGAAAGAAAAAAAAATCACCCTCCAGGATGAAAAGGATTTCCTTCTGTATATAATTTCTTTTGTTGCATTGCTATGCAAGCTCACCTTCTTTTTAGCTATGTTCATATTCATGTCTGTTTCTATTGGTCCGTTGTACTATATGTGAATTAATAGGCTGTGGTGCCATATATTAACTTTTAATTGTGTAACTTTTATGTTTAAAGTTTGCACTGCAATTTTATTTGGTGATAAGCACAAAACTCTACTCCTCATGACATGAAGAAAAAAAGAGACTGAATGTGTGAAGGTTTACGTACTGTAAGCTACTTTGGATAGTGCTGGATGTAAAGGAGTATGTTAGGTGGTTTTCCATTGGGGTGTAGAAATGAGAAAGTGACAGGCAAAACTGATGTCAGTGAAGACATTAGAGACAGATTTAAATCTTTTAAAAGCAAGCAACATAGTTGCTCTTCCTATTTAAGAAGGGGTCAGAAGTTGGAAGTGTGAGATTAAAGAGTGAATATGAAAATTAAAGGTAGCATGAGATGGCCTAGACCCTTTCAATAGAATGATGCCCTTAGTATCTGTTTTTAGCCATCCCATGCCACTAAGTAAAGGGGAAGAAAAACAAACCTTGCTACAAACAGAAGAACTTAAGGTGTTTCACTAAAGCTGGTTTTATATTGCAGTTTTAAGAGAATTATTACCATTAATTTCTCCAACCCAAAATATAAGACAGATTTCCCAGGAGAAACAAACAATATAAACTCAAGGAATACCTAGTAAGTAGTTAAGGATGCAATTTATTATTAAGACATATTCAGGCTGCTTCCAAAAAATTGAAATGTCAGAGTATTGTATTTCATCTTTCTGATACATGTACAGTACAATAGAGGATAGAGCTGCACCACTGAAATTCATGACATTAATTGTTTTGATGCAGTCTAAACAAACCTTTATGTTCTGTTACCTGAAGTCTGCAAGAGCTGAAGCTGGATCCACAAAATCTGTAGTAAAATGTTTAGTGTTTGGAAGGAAAGCAACAGTCAAGTTATTTTCAGCTTGCATTAAGTAAATTTCTGGCAATACAATACATCCAAAAAGTTAGATATAAGCAAAGGAAATCTTTAACCCTTGTTTTAGTGAGTGGCTTCAAACCCTACTATGATGAGGAAATAATGCATGTTTATACACTTTTTGAATAAGCCAAACTCTGTAAGTGGACATTAATGACAGCATCCTGTCTCTTCATTAGTTTTCATGACGTTGCCCAAATCTTCTGTACCTCTCAAATCTCAATGAGTAAATTGTCAAACTTTTCTTAGAATATTGTATGTGGGTAGCCCACTCATTTGATGCTTAATTTAAATATTGCATCCTACAGCTTATTTCTGTTAGTTGTCTGACCATGAACACAAGTTTCCATTTGAATACCCTTTTCGTATAACCAGTCTATGTTGTTTTATATATTGCCTTGGAGCTCACCACTATTAAGAACACTTTTAGTAATGGCAGAATTTTAGAAAAGTAAATTACAATGCTAAATATGTGTTGCTTTTCATTTCATTAACTTGTTCCATGATAAGATAAAACACTACAGCCATCAACTATAACTCAGCACTATTGAATATTAAAAAAATGTTAGTTAACTTCCTTAAGATCAAGACTGTTATTTAGCAGGTTACAAACCAAACAAGTTGAGAAAAACATGTATGCATTTATTTATATATGTGACCAATGAATATATGTAATTTTCCTGCTTGTTAAACCATTATAGATAAAACCATTACTTAAAAATGTGCAAAAATGTTCAAGCAAGATAAAGAAGGCATCATATTTACATATGTATGTTTTTTATTTTGGAATTATCATATGAAGAGAAGATTATTCAGGGTACAATTCAAATTCAATTCTCTGGAAAACGTTTAACTCGGTCACCAGTAGATTTTTTTTTTTCCTTTTAATTCAAAAGCTTGTGCTGAGCTTTGGTGGAACACCTTACTCACTATATCCTACTCAAAATTCAGTATCATTAGACATTGATAAAGCCATCCCAATTACTTTCAAATACGTGTTTTATCTCTTCCACTGGAAAGTAAATGTGTGTCAGTATTAAAGCTGTGCAGTACCATGATATTCACTAACTTGTCCATCTGCTTCTGTACATTTTTGTTCATTAATAATTTGCTTACAATATTACATAAGGTGTTGTGTGTATCGCAAAGTGTCTCCATTATCTTACAGGTGATGTCTCTTCTTTTTTTTTCTCTCTCTCTTTTCTATACAGTGTACTTCCAATGAACCACAGTACATATTTTTTAAAATGCCATTTAATTTACTATTTTAAAAGAAGTATTCTTCTTTTTTTAAAAAAATCGAAAACATTTATTGTGAATAATGTGTTTAAAGAAAAGGGATGTTGTGGCAGCACTTAGAATTGTTTTTTAATTTGTTTTTTTAAAAAACTGTTTATTGGCTACAGTTTGTTCACGAAAAAGTATGACCTCTTAATGTGTTTCATTGGTATTGTTAGTGCAGCAAAGTTTAATTGGCATAAAAAGTTGGTTAATAGTACTGTTGAAGTGTGTATTGTATATTTACTGGGGAAAAAATAAAACATATTCACATTTCAAATCTATGTTAAAAGACCTTGAGTAAGGAGTCAATATGTGAAAACCCAAACTGGGAAAATCAGGCAATAATAACATAGACTGAGCTATAATCATCACTGTCCACTTACAGTAACAAGGAACATTTTATATGCTGATTTTTGGACTAAGCTAACAGCTGTCTTATAAATAGGCCAGTGGTAAACATTGCCTGTCGTAGGGATTTCTGTTTAAGGTCCTGTCTACATTGGGAATAGTTGTACCAATGTAATTACACTGATACAGCTATTCTAGTGATACATCCTCCGTTTGTAGACATACTATCTCGATGTACATTAAGGACCGCAAGTGCACAGCTTACTTTGCTTAAAGCCCATAAAATAGTGGACATGTAAAACCTGTGTTCAGTGGGTCTGAACCCTTGGACTTGGGGTTTTGTACTGGTGGAGCTACTGCCAACCCGGTACAGAATATCCCCAGAACGTATAGATAGATGCTAGGTCAATCTTTCTCAATCTTTGCATTGACTATATGCTCAATTTTAAATACAGGAGGGCTGAAGGACCAAATAATAAATTGTTACATGTGCTTCAGTGGTGTATTGCTGTATGGGCAGCCATTTCAGTGATGCAAACAACAGACATTTCTTTTTTGTTATTTACTATTTCTCAAGTCCTTATCCAAGTCAGTAAAACCTTTTGAGTAACCTTTGGTTGTCACCTGAAATACAACATAAACACCGTTCCTTGGGAAAAGTACAAAAAAAAAGGAGCATGGAGTGTTTTAAGTATATTGATTTAACTCTACACCAATGCAAAAGGAAGACATGACTGTTTGAAATAATAATATGGTGGCTTATGCTTGCCTCAGCCTGTATATTGCCAGCCAGGAAAAAAAGGTGGCTGAGAAAGAGTCCTCACAACTGACAGAGGAAAGGTAATCGGGTTGGGGGAGATTCTGGCAGGAACTTTTTCTGTTTTTAAAAAATATAGTCAGCGCCTTTGGCTTTTCTACAATTTATGCAGTTTGGGGGGGGGTGTTTATGATTAATGGCCTTGTGGAAATTTAACAGAGGAACTAGAAGGAAGTAAGTTGGCCTTCTTTTATAAAGATTGGGGTGAACTTGTTTGCTGAGGGGAGGATTTTTTAATTTCATTT